TAATCGGAGAATACAGTAAGCGAATGGGATTAGAGATTAATTACCAAAAAGACCAAATTCATGATCATCTCCAGAAACTTGGATGCACTTGAAAACTCCACCATAACACTGAATACTAAGTCCATTGAAAGAGATGAGATAAATTTAAATACCTGGGATCGTGGCTTTTTGAAGACTGGGCATCGGACAGGGAAGTAAAATGTCGCATTGAGCAAGCTCGACAAGCTTTCGTAAAATTCAAGAAGGTACTGACTTGTTCAGAGTTCGATCTTCAACTGAGACTAAGGTTTAACTAAGTGCTACGTATGGTCAGTGCTGCTATATGGCGTAGAGCGCTGGACACTCAAAAACGAGGGATATAAACAGATTAGAAGCTTTCGAAATGTGGCTTTATCGCCGTATCCTAAAAATACCATGGACAGCGAAAATCACAAATATAGATGTCCTTAAAAGAATAAACCAAGAACGCCAACTTTTCGAAACCATCAAGAAAAGGAAAACGACGTATCTAGGTCACATTCATGCGAAATGAAAAATACCAGTTCCTCCAACTTATAATCGAGGTTAAAATTGAAGGCAAGAGAGGAATGGGACGCAAGAAAATGTCCTGGCTCCGAAACATAAGGCAATGGACAGGGATTAACGACATACAATCTCTGATACATATTGCAAGAAATAGAGAATTAATGGAAAATGTGATCGCTAACATCCATTAGTGGATTTGCATCATGAAGAAGAAGAAGAATCCATAAGACTCCATACCAATAACTAAAGATTTGATGTTGAATATTCTATACCTTTACAGCATTTAATCACCTATTATCTTCTCGCTAGTGAGAAAAAGACAATTTGCTATTAACTTCGTTGATGCAGTTTATCGACAACATATTTTGTGGTAATTAATTACCCCATCACTATTCAGGATCTTCCATTCAACTTTAACCGTCTTATTATGACAGCTAAAAAGTATACTGTCTACGGGTATATTGAACAACCTCAACAACATACATACAAACCATGGGGGAGTAATTTAATATACCTAAAAATTCGCTTCCCACCAATATTGAGTGACAAAGAAACCCTTTCACTCTTTACAAACCGATCTTGCGTTCTTTTGTTTTGGGGCTCTTCCCTACGATGTCGTCGACAAGTGTTGTGCACTTTTGTGTTGGTTATAGTGAGGTGCAATTATTGTTTTGTCGAGGATTATATCGTCGATGATCTTTTTTTATAATAAGGGGCTACTGATTGGTGTTTAATCAACACACTTACAAAATGATGAATTGGTAATGGTTTTAAGAGGTTACAAGTGTTTAAAAGAACCATTGGAATTGATACATTTTCATATTTTAAGGGCAAGTAATTGTTTAACTTATTTAAATAGCAATTAGTAAAAAATATCGACTGTATTATAACAGTAAAATAATGGTAAAAAATGTGCGGTACACAAGAATTTATCTACTGTATAGAAGTAAATACTCGATATGAAATTTAAATAAGTACAATAAAAATTTAACTTACAATCTGACGAGTTTATATACTTCATATATTCATTTTCCACCCCGTTTACATATTTATTACATTTTTCCAGGTTTTCGCTGAATCTTTGTTACTGCTTGTCTTTTACTGTTATTAATTTCTACTGCTTCTCAAGAGCGCTTGACTTGTGCTTGTGTTTTCAAACATTCAAACAGCGGCTGAGACATACAATATGAAAATATCAACATCTAGGACGAAATCTTTATGTGTAAGTATGATATAGTTTATGTAAAGAATGTCTAAACGATGTCCTCTGCAAAAACTAACTACATGAGATTAGATAGGAAAGTACGTCTATATCAATAATGTGTGAAACCAATAATGAAACTTGTGATACAAACTAGAGAATATACAGCAGCAACGAAAATAATACTTAGAACGTCAGAAATGGTTGAAGAAAAGCAAGAATACAGTTACCAAATGTTGGTGATTTGATACAAATAAACATTTTTTTCAAAACTTATGTTGTACTTTTTATGGAACTAATATTCTTCAAAAATGTTCATATAGATTTTGCTCTACCACACGCTATATGATCTAAATTAAGGATCTCTATGCTGACAAACGTCGTCTTAAGCTATTTTGGTCTAAGAACAACCCCAGCACAGCCACTTGGCAAATACTGAAAGCCTTAATCCGGCAGGTAGATATATGGGTAAAAGCTAGATTTTGATGAGCAGGGTAGGACTCCATGGAGAAATTGTCGTAGTTATAGAACTTTGAATTTTAAAATATATATTCCCAATTGGCTAATACTTTAAAAGAAATAGATGTAGAGCGAATGTTCGAATTTTATGCTTGTATCCAAGAAGAATAAGATCTAATCTAATGGTATTGTCGATGGTGGCGATGTTAATCCTTTTACAACAAATTTATCATAAGACATTTATGTTAACAGAAATATTATGTTAATAGAATTGTTGGGCAAAGGAAATAGTCTGAATGCAGAAAAATACCTACATTTTTTTAAATAATCAGTTTCCCGATTTTCTTAATTACTCATCATTAATTGGAACAAACATGATAGATCAACAACTCATTGTACAAGAAATGTTTGAGATGTTGTTCTACATACTTTTTACAGTAGAATGATAGGGAGGTATATGGAATTACTTTGGCCTCCGAGATCTCCAAATCTTATACCTATGGACTTTTTTTGTGGAGCTACGTAAAACAAAAGGTTTACTATAAAAGATCAATTCGAATCGTTGATCATTTTGAGAGAGAAATAAAAGAAGAATGTGAAGCTATTACGCCAGATTTAATTAGAATTATTGTAATGAATTTAATCGAAGAATAAGTGTTACGAATATTTATTATTTGTATACAAATACAATGTATTTAGTTAATTTTTAGTTCTATCATGTTACCCAAAATTTCTCGTTGCTACTGTTTTATAAACTATGTCAAATATAATATCAAAACGTCAGAAAACAAACTGTCACCGATTAGGAAAAAAATTAATTAATTTAATAATTTAGGAGACAGCAAGAGAACAGAATTTGAATTTGTTTTTACGCAAATAAAAACAGTAAACTACAAATCCTTCAATTGCTGGCTGTTCAATAAAGATAAATTCCCAACAATAAAAATAGAAAGAGAAGATTTTATATTCTAACCAATTGACTCCCAACATTCTACAATAAAAATATAAAATCCAATATTTACCCTATTAAACAAAAAGTTCTTCCATTTTAACCTGTTTTATTGTCCTTGTGAATTAGTGTTGGTTTTTTATTGTTAAGTGTTTTTTTTTTCGTTTTAAAATTTAATATAATCATAAACGAACCTTCATTGTGGCAAAATTCAAACAATATAAACGAAAGCTGCACTTTTTACCTTTAAAACGCATCTCGATTTTTGTCGATAGGATACTTACATCAAAAGATAAAGAATTTTTAATTTCTAAATGATACAAATTTTATTTCAAAAATTGCTTTCGCGCGCTTCATTCAAAATCGCCTGTCTCTACAAGCGTTTATTTTACGGCATACTGATTATTGGTAAATTAATTTTTTCCGTTTTTCCCCCTACCTTTTAGGAGAAACCCGGGAGTCGGAATTGCAAACTTTGTCATCTTTGTTGGGGTCCAAAAATTGACATTCTCATAATTCAGCTTGTTTGTATAATTTTCAGAGGTTCAGTGGCAAGTAATATAATGTGGATAGCTAAGTAGAAGTAAAACTGACAAAGAAACAATTCACATCATCAAGACTTAACAAATTAAGTAAAATAGTTTGGAAAATGCACTATATTGGGAATCTTTTTCTAAATTGGAGAAGACATTTTAATGAGAATATTACAAATTCTTTTTATATCACATAATTTAAGAGGCAACAATTGATTATGTCTGTAAGAAATGAGGTTAGATGTGACATATTAATTTTTCGTTTACAATAACAATGAAAGCATTACAATCCGGCCCTGTTACATAAACCTCATCTTCATTTTATTTATTCCAAACGCTAAGAATCGCCGCACAAGCTCTACCACGTTTCTAGGGTTGGTAAACATCCGAAAAACTTTTTTTCGACTTAAGTACTGTGTATTTACATTTTTAGAAGGAACACAGAGTCATCAAGTAGTCAACAAATAAAAAATAAGGTGTGTTTGTTAGGTTAAAGACTTGTTTGGTTCCTTTATTTCGGGCGATAATTTTTAGGGTTAATGTTTTCGTAAGGTGTTCGAGGGTAAGTGCGAAATGACAGAAATTGTTTGTGTTTATAATTGAGAGAAGCATCAATTGCGTGGTGTTTGTTTAATATAATTAAATCAAAAATGCAGACAAAACATTCTACATATACAGGAAACAAATTGTATATTTCTTGAGTTCTCTATTGCGTGAATTAACACAGCAACATAATAATGCACCATCAACGTAGAAGACTCTTGGAGTAATCTGTTTCTTCTTTCTTTATATATTCTGCCCTTTCAGAACGTTGGTAACCATAATAGCTATCTTAATATTATTCACTGCCACCCTAAATGCTTGTATTAATACCATACCAATATCTCAAGTTCTTCAACCATGAAGTCCTTGACTACGTTTAGTACTCCTTTCATAGATTGCCTTTACTGCTGTTATAATTCAATTTAATCCCTCATCGACATTCTCACTGACATTTTCTCAAACTTAATTTGCGTTCAGTTGTCTTTGAACGGTTTCCGTAATCTGTTTAGTTTGGGGGAAAAGTCGAGTGGAATGTGAACTAGAGACTTAAAACAAGTCCCATTTTTATTTTTTTCCATAGTCTTCAAAACCTTCTTTTAGAGTCGTATAATAATTTGCCACACCAACATCGATAATTCAAAACTTTTAAATGCATGATATGCTACCAATGGAGTAGAAACAAACACACGAAAACACTGAACACACGAAACTTTAAACAGCCAATGCTAATCCATAATTTGATAAATCATCGACATTTTGCTAGACATCATTAAGTGTCATTTTATATACACAACTGTCAATTTGACAAATTCCTATTACAGTTTTTTATCCATAGTATGTTTTCATACTAATGTCGTCCAAACTAGAGCAAGTTCTAGAAATAGACCCCCCCAATGAGTTGGTTTTTAAAGGTCGATACGATGAACCAGTCACCTCCACTCTGACCCTAACTAACCCTTCAGACAAAAGAGTGATATTTAAAATCAAAACAACAGCTCCAAGAATGTACTGTGTTAGGCCTCCTTCTGGAACTATCAATGCTAACGAGAAACGTCAAATAACAATTTCTTTTCAACCATCTGAAGATGCCGTTGAGACGACCATGCACAAATTCATGGTCCAAAGTGCGTACGCTCCACCAGGAGATGTAAATATGGAGCAAATATGGAAGAATATTATACCGGCGCATCTCATGGACACCAAACTGAGATGTGTCTTTAACTTAACGGAGGAAAAGAACGAAGACCGCCAGGACTTTTCCCCAAAACTAGTGTCTACACCGATCAATACTTCCAGTGAAATCGACAATGTGGCTCAAGAGCTTCTTCAGGACATTAAGAAGGAACAAGAATCGTTTCTGAAGTTGGAAAACCAGACGCTAAGGGATCAGATCCGGCAGCTTCAAATGGAAATGCGAGCTACGAATTCGACGACGGATTACATCCACAACAATTCTTATAACGTGGTCTATTTCGTCGCATCTCTTGCAGTCGCAATTGCAGGTGCTGTGTTTGGAAAGTATGTGCTCTAAAAATTACTTTATTTCAACATTAGTGAGTATATTGAGTCATTTAGCAAATATATTTTTTGAACGAGAATATTTTTTATTTAGTAAAAGTCAGTAATATGAAAAATGATAAAACGAACATTTTTTTCGAGATTATTGGTTAGTTTTGCGTGACCATACACAAATAATATCGACTGTTTCCACAATATATACCAGTTATGACGAACTTAGAATGTACTAGTCAGAAATTGATCTACACAGCTTTTTACACTGACCCTTCCTCTTTGAATCTTCCCACATTTTTCTATTCTAACGCAATATTTTCAGTTGTAATAGAGTATAGTACATTATAGAGATCATAATGTGTTAACAGACTAACAAGTGATATACAATAGATCAAATTTCATACTAGTTAATAAACTAACTAGACAAATAAGACTTGATTTGATGATGTCTGTGAAAGTGGAACGTACCCACACCATACCTCCTCTTCACTACTGAACTCATTCAAAAGCACGTCATAGATATTTTAAAACAGCTGGGACTTAGTGAACATCTCTACCTTTACTTTTTCCATGCGTATATGGGGCGTTCACATGCGAGAAAGTTTTTGGAAGATATGGTCCCTCCAGAGCTTAATCCTTTTTGATACCCTAGGTATCTGTGCCATATGCAATATCCTTGACGAAATGTCAATGATGCAATCAGAGTGTGATGTGTGTCACATATTTTAGTCGTTTTTAGATTTACACAAATTTCCAGATCAAATTTTTAGTTGAATGTAAATATTGATTTCCCTGGAGTAAAAACTTACATCTATTGACTCTTCCATGCTGAAAGGCAGAGAACCACAAATTCTGTAAGAGTAGCAAGCGTTGGAAGACGTTGATCTCATGACAGACGAAGATATTAATGCTGCAAAAATATGTGGCATCTCGTAAGACGCATCAGTAAGCTGGTGAACAAGGTCAAGATTACATACAAGCCAAAAGGGCTCTAATCAAGGCTTCTGCAAGATAAAAGTGTTGTCGTCAGAGCCATTAGAGGCCATGTCAAAACAAAGACAAATTTAGAAGACCGAAGGTCCAAAAAGGCAAAGGTCAGACGGAAGCACACCAACCGAAAGCCGACGCAAATGGAAAAGCCCAAAAACTGAGCATGTAACTTTTTGACACTATTAACTAGATTCCCAGAAGCCAAAGTGGATGTGAATAAGCTTAAGGCAGTCCAAAAAGCCATCTTGGTGGCTTTTTCAGTTCACGAAGTAGGACAGCAGGTTTGCTTCCTGAGAAGTATTCACAGGCCACAAATGTAGCAATGTTTCTATTAGTTGCTGTTTTTCTTAATATCAGTAGTGCCATATTTACATACTGCGTGTATTTATTTTTTATATTCTTCAATTTCTGTTTATTTTCCATTACTTTAGGATCATTATCAATTAAATCAATTAAGCAAGTGTTTCCCCCTAGTTTTTTGGGCTTTTTATTTCTATTTTAATCCCTGGAGTCTGAAATAGGTCATTGTCTTTTTTAATTCATTTGTACACGTTTGTTGTATCAATTTCAAACCCTGTGTATATTATTATGATTATAAAAAATATCTTAATAAAAAAATTACATCTGCTAAATCATCTTTGTAATCTTGACAACGTGGTACTGTTCTATTTTTTTATGAGCAATTTTTAACATCAGAATTATCATTAAAATATTTAGTTCGCCACACCAGATGCGGATTACGTAAATAATTTTGTTTACCGAGAATTTTTTGGCGGTCCAATCTGGAAGTTCTCACCATTTTTTTCACGTCGTTTAATGTACCGGGAAGAGTTTTCAGAACCATATGTTGGATCACAATTCCACATACGTCGTTGGTATGTGATGTTACGCATGTGGTCCACACTTGAAAGGAAGCTATCTTGTTAAATTATTATGTATTTAAACCACAGAAACATAAGGCGCCGAATTTTTAATTCTCTAAACAGAAAGTTTGTCGCATTGAAAAACTTTTGTAAATTTTAATTTTACGACCAGAATCATGTATTGTTATGTACTGTATAAAGTGTAATTAAATTTCTAAGATTTAGTAGTCATTGTTCTGTTTTTTGCACTTTTTTGTGGATCCTTTTTCTTAGTTCATTTTTTTGGTTTACTGAATGTATTTATCGCTTGTTTTTTTATTTTTGTTATATCCCTTTTATTAAATATCCCTTTAATATGTTTTTGTTATTTTTGTATCATTTACTTTACTGAATTCTGTGCAAGCCTTTTTTGAGGTATATTGAATATTGCAATTCGTGTCGCAGAAAGTTGGAAATGTTTATAGAAAATACCATTCTACTTCTTATGCGTTTGGTGTGCATGATTGTAGTTTATATCTCTGTCTCAATATCAAATAACATAATATAGTCACTAACGATTTCTTTAAGCTCACACTGTATGCCTAGCACTTATAGAGAAAACAAAAATCCATTGCCGCTGCCAAAGAAACAAGCGAAGAACAGAAGATTTAAAGACCAACGGCACTATAAATCTCGAGTCATAATATTTTTATGCAACCGATGCACTTAGACGTTTGGATTTTTCTGTTCAAATGACAGAACAAAAACAAAGAACAAAAAAAAGTTAGTTTATAAACAAGTAAAGGGATTTTTTATCAGTCTTTTTAAAGATATAAATTTTTAAAAAGATTTTTAATGTACGCGGCAGCAATCTGTGGTTTTAATCCAGAACCGGATTGATATTTTAAGATATTAGTAGGTGTATAAGATAAAAGTATATGAGGAATTCTAAAAAAATTTGCACCTTAACTGGAGCCAATATGTCATATTGCAATTTGCTGCCCGTACCGTGCAGTAACAATTTTATTCTGTATGTTGATACCAAAAAACATGTTTTCAGATGCGAGCTTTAAAAAAAAGGCAAATTTAAGTTTTTTCCAACAAAAAAACTGATTTGTTCGCTAAAGCTATTTCATTCTTCTAGCGATCTGCCTCGAAAGACGAGTTGAAAGAGACTTCTATACTTGGAGCACACGTACATTTCAGGTACCAATCGCTTCGTCTTGGTCTCCAGAAGGAACTCTAACCCTTTGAAGAGCCAAGAAACACCTGATCAAAGCGTGGCAAGCGGTTATTCAGTCCCTAAAATCGACGTTTTTTTTTTCAGTTTTTTTCGCGATTTTACCAGAAAATCAAGTTAAAATGACTTTCATTCGACAACTGAGTTTTCCAAAGGCGATTGGATCGAAGTAATTTATGATCAATGGTACGCAGGAGTAGTTGAAGAGGTAAACAACGAACATCTTGTAATAAAACTTCTCACAACTACAAAAAATGACTTTTGTTTTTTGAATCGACCACAGCATACACAAAACGTTTTATCAACTCAAGTTTTATGTAAAATAGAATCGCCAGAACTAACTAAATTTAGAAATAAAATAATGTACAATATCAGTGAAAATCAGAAAAAAATGATTGAAATCTAATGTAAAAAATAATATAATTATATGATATATTTGGTATAATTTATATATTAATATAATTTCTTTTTGAATCAAAAACAGTATTAAAATTTTATTTATTTCATATTATTCGAGCTTTAATATGTATTGTTTCTGTTAAACACAAGATTATTTAATATTATATGCCAAGTTCTTTTTTATAGTGTTTAATTAATGAAAAAGTAAATATATTTATACCATTACCACCTACCACGCTTTGAGCAGGTGTTTCTCGGTTCTTCAAAGGGTCAGAATTCATTCTGGGATCAAGACGAAGCGATTGGTACCTAATATGTATGTATGCTCCAGCTATAGAGGTACTTTTAATATATTTTTCGGATAAAATTGCGAAAAAAAATGAAAAAAAAAACGTCATTTTTAGGGACTGAATAACCGTTTGCCACGCTTTGAGCTTTTTTTTTTGTTCTTCAAAGAGTCAAGTTCATTTGGGGACCAAGGCGAAGCGATTGGTACCTAATATGTATATGTGCCCCAACTATAGAGGCATCTTTTAATCTATTTTCAGATAAAATCGCGAAAAAATTAAAAAAAACGTTGATTTTAGTGACTGAATAACCGCTTGACACGCTTTGAGCAGGTGTTTCTTGGCTCTTCAAAGGGTCAGAATTCATTCTGGGGATCAAGACGAAGCGATTGGTACCTAATATGTATGTGTGCTCCAACTATAGAGGCATCTTTTAATCTATTTTCGGATAAAATCGCGAAAAAAATAAAAAAAAACGTCGATTTTAGTGACTGAATAACCGCTTGCCACGCTTTGAGCAGGTGTTTCTTGGCTCTTCAAAGGGTCAGAATTCATTCTGGGGATCAAGACGAAGCGATTGGTACCTAATATGTATGTGTGCTCCAACTATAGAGGCATCTTTTAATCTATTTTCGATAAAATCGCGAAAAAAATTAAAAAAAAACGTTGATTTTAGTGACTGAATAACCGCTTGACACGCTTTGAGCAGGTGTTTCTTGGCTCTTCAAAGGGTCAGAATTCATTCTGGGGATCAAGACGAAGCAATTGGTACCTAATATGTATGTGTGCTCCAACTATAGAGGTATCTTTTAATATACTTTCGGATAAAATTGCGAAAAAATGAAAAAAAAAAAACGTCGATTTTAGGGACTGAATAACCGTTTGCCACGCTTTGAGCTTCTTTTTTTGTTCTTCAAAGAGTCAGAGTTCATTTGGGGACCAGACGAAGCGATTGGTACCTAATATGTATATGTGCTCCAACTATAGAGGTATCTTTTTAATCTGGTCTATTTTATTTCTGGTCTTATGATTTTTCAATTCATAAGTGATCTTTGTTTCGTAACAATAGACTTCCATATTCTTCAGGATCCAGTGTCTTTTAAATATGTCATTAAGCAGGCCAATAATCACAAAAAGAAGATGTGAATGAATTGAGGATCATTAACCATTAAGCCTTGCAGAGCCAGTGCAAAAAATGCTTCAAAAATGATCAAACTCATACAGAAATCTTTGAGAGTATTTCGAAACACGGGTAACGCATCGTTTATGATAAATATTTGATTTAACTTCTCCTTATTGTTATTTTTCTACAACATTTTATTCATTTT